GTTTTGTTGTGGTACTGGTAGTGTTGCCACCATTCCTAAGTGTGTTACCGAGGAAGAGCTTCCACCTTTTACGCCTTAACTAATGTACTGTATGTGGATGTTTGACTCTCTGGATCTCCACATTAGCATCTTCAAAATAGCTCAGGACCTGACCAAATTATCTAGCTCATCCACATTTTTGGTTCTGCCCCTTTTCTCCAACTCTTTTTGGTGGCAGACAAAATCTCTTGATCCCTCCAATCTGTTTGTTTAGGTCTTGGTGTTGGTTCTCATGAGTCAACCTTGTCTCAGAATCTCTTTCCCTTTCTTCTCGGATGTAGGCCACCTGTTCAGACACATTTGGGATTGCAGAACATTCAGTTTGATGCCCTCCAGTTCTCTTCCCCAATAAAATCTGTGAGAAACTGCTTGTTAAAGCTAATTCTGTGAAATGTCTATAACTGATTGCCATCTGGTGTTGCATTGGTCTGTCTCTGTGAACAACTTTCCCCTCTCTCTCCTGTGCGCTTTGCAGCTTTCCTTCTTTTCTGTCCTTGTACCTGCATGTTATGTCATTAAATTGACAAAGTTTTCCCTAAAGAGAGATTCCGAATTTAGAACACAGTAGTTTTAAAACCTCTACACTGTAAAACAGAGAAGTTTGGAGAATGTATTGTCTGTGTACTCCATCTTACATAAATTAGCTAAGTGGATGCTTTGTAAAACTGGGTAGGGCTGGTATCTCTCTTAAAGCCAAAGATGAGAATATAACTCTCTGAATATTGTGTTCAATATGGGTAGTGGTTATGCCAGATGCAGTATTTTAGACGTTTAAGGTAAAGGTAAAGGTTCCCCTTGACATTTTAGTCAGTCGTGTTCGACTCTAGGGGGCGGTGCTCATCCCCGTTTCCAAGCCATAGAGCCAGCATTTGTCCGAAGACAGTTTCTGTTGTCACGTGGCCAGCGCGGCTATACACGGAACGCTGTTTACCTTCCCACTGAGATGGTACCTGTTTATCTACTCGCATTTACATGCTTTTGAACTGCTAGGTTGGCGAGGAACTGGGACAAAGCGACGGGAGCTCACTCCATCGCATGGATTCAACCTTACGACTGCTGATCTTCTGACCCTGCAGCACAGAAAGGCTTCTGCGGTTTAGCCTGCAGTTACCCTCCCCAATTAATTTTTCCCATCTCTGCTTAAAGTCGCCAATCAGCACATGTAACTCATGTGATGTCTGAGCAGTAGCTTTGGTAACATTACTGACTCCAATTTCATTTGACACTCACACCAATGGCCGACCCCTTCCTCAAAACACCAACCGACCTGTTTATGCTGACAATCTTGCACTTGCTGTTCAGTCAGACAGTTTTCAGATGGCGGAACATCTTTTAACAGATGCATTAGAAGAACTTGGCATGTATTGTGTAGAAATGAATTTAAAGCCAACTCTACTGTGACTTCAATATGTGCCTTTTATCTAGAAATAAGCAGGCATCTTGGAAATTTCAGATTACTTGGAAGGGTGTCCAATTAAGATCATGGTTTCCCAGAGACCTAGGTGTTAGGAAACACTGTCAAAATACAAAACAATGTCTGCATAAGGAACAATATTCCTTAAAAGCTATTGTGAACTATTAGTTGGGGTACACAAACACTGACAACTGCAGTCTTGGTTCTATACCCCCACTTAGGCAAATTTGCCAGATTTATAATTCAGCCCATGCAAAACAGGTAGATGTAGCATTCAGTGGATCCCATTACTGGATGCCTAAAGCCAGTCCTTCGTCATAAAAGCAGCTGCCTAATAGGCATTGCACCAAGTGAGATACAGAGAGAGGTAGCAGCTAACAGTAAAAAAAACCCTCAACACATGTACATTAAATGTGCACCTACCATTTGGCTACTGCCTTTACTGCTCCCAGATTAAAATCAAGGAGAATTTCTTTCAGAATATTTGTGAATCTGGCAGGAACAGAAAATGCCAGGACTGTAATGTTGAAAAAGCAAACTATTCACCTCTTAAAATGGAGATAATCCCAGGAAAACCTATCCCCCGGTCATGCAAAGAACGGAGTTACTTGAAAGTCATTTAACAGGCTACGGACTAGAATTTACAGGAACAGAGTAAACCCATGAAACTGAGGCGTTGGTACTGATACAAATCTTTGTGAGAGTAGATAAAAACAGGTAGCCGCCTAGAGTGGTCGAAATGACCGATCTTTGTGAGAGTAGATAAAAACAGGTAACTTCACACTTCTGTCCATGTTCTCTATGCACCACAGGATGTAGTGTGGAAGATTTGATGCTAACTGCCCCCAAACATTCTTTATACTGTCCATTATTGGGTGAAAACTATATATTTTATTAATTGTACAATAGCACTTGTGACACAAATAATATTAATTGTACAATAGTGCTTGTGTTTTTCCACTGCGAACAGGGATTTCAAATCTTTGGAAGAACAAGCCACCATTTTATGTGTGTAGGTATGAGAGTTGTGATATCTGAGAGAGTGTGTGTTTTACTTCCTTGGGAAATGCCTTTTGGGTGTGTATGTGCCAGTTCATACTGACAGTTGCCGCTACCATTTTCTTGCACTGAGGCTTGGTGCCTGCTCCCTTACATTTCCTGCAGCAGGTGTGAGTAATCTTTGGCCACCCAGAGATTTTGGACTTCAGTTCCCAGAAGCCCCTGTCACCACGGCTAGTAGTAAGGGACTATGAAAGCTGCAGTCTGGCTGTAGTTCACATACCCCATACTATGTCCGGTTGGTAATGCCTCTTCTTCCAAATAAGTCTGTCCTGACACTCAGTTACTCTTCTTGATCAAAGATTTCTTAGAGAAGGGACATGATGGATCCTGAGGTTTGGTTGTGTCTTAAGGACCCCCCCTCACCCCCCCACCCTTCTTCCCACTGTTATTGACTGCTTTGCCACTTTCTGGCCAGGATTACTGGCATGGTTTTTTAACATGCTTGCTGTCTACTCCCAGCACTTGTAATAGTAGCATTGTTGACATGCAGACCAGATTTCAGGTAAAGCCCTTGCAGTGACAATTACGGTGATTAACTAGGTAAAAATAATACATCAGAGTTTAATTAAATCTCCTTCACTGTCAGCCAACAATCCACCCGCTCCTCTCCCTCTCTCCTCCTCTCCCTCTCTCTGTGCTACTACCTTTTTCATTTAGAGCTTGGCAGCTCTACTGCTCAAGCGAGGCAAACACCCCTGATGCCCATATTGTTTATCAGTTATTACTGTGTATCTGCTCAGCTGATCACCTCTACCCAGGATCACATAAATTACTGAAACTTCAAGGGATAGCTGAAATCTGTATCTGGGTGCGTGTTTTCATTTGCTTATGTGTTGAGTGTAAGCAATACTTTGTACTATAATCATAGGGAAATTGAGGTTCTTGCATTTTTCTTTCTTTTTTCTTTTTCTTTTAAAAGCCCAGTTCTGCATCCAAGTCCTGCAGTCCGTCCTGCAAGTTAAAATAGTTTGGAATATATAAACAGAACTATAACGCTGCTTGCGAAATGTAGGATAGAATCGAATATAGTGGCGAAGAAGAGATGAACAGGGCCTTGGAAAGCCCAGAGAGTCTGCGAGGAGGAGCACTGAGGAGGCGGGACAGGGATGGATGGGGAAGCCTCCTCCTTTTGACAACTGGGAGACAACTCGTTTCTTTTGGTCTCTGAATCATGGGCACAAGTAGTTCCATTTAGGGATGGTCATGAACATTTGGTTCGGCAGGTCATCCTGGTTTGTTTACTGTCGCAACAGCCTGCTTGGAAGGAGCGTCACGACGTCCCTACCCTGCCTCCTCCAGGGACCCCCTGGAAGGGACAGGGTACCAAATTGCGGCAGTAAATGAACTAGTTTGGCAGTGTGTGCCCGTTTCTAGTTCTGTTCGTTTCAAGGATCCCGTCACTTGTAGTGACCATTTGAAACATTTTGTAGTTTTTAGAGTAGGATTTTATATAAATAAGTAACATAGGGTACAGTCCTATTCCTACACATCAGAACTTTCCAGGACACCAAATGCACTCAAAAGGCATGGTGGAATCATACAGGTCCACACCCCAGTCTTTCTGTACCACCTTTGTTTGTTTTGTTGGGCAGTGAGAGCTTGAAAAAGTTGCTGTTTTGAACAGTGACTTCCGAAATCCTCCTTGGGAGTTAATAGCTCCAAAAAGTAGCTTTTCTCAGACTTGTTAGTAACACAGTACACCTCAGGCTTTCCTCTCTCCCCTGTCTCCAAATCTCAAATACGAACTTGATTCTCCACTCAGTTGTGGCAGAGGCTAGATGTAATTACAGAAGGAGACATATTGCATACAGATCCTGCTGTTGCCTAGTAGAGACTTTCTCCAGCTTGCGTACATGCCTTGCTTGTACTGTGGATGAGTGAGTGCACAGATGACATACCCTAGGTTTATGGAATTGCCATGTCTGGTTAAGCGACCCAAGCAAGGAGCATCCAAGAGCCAGACTTATAAGGCTAGCAAAAAGAGAGCGAGAGTGAGAGCGCTAAGAAGAGGGTGACAGTAGCTTAGCATCAGTTCTTATCTACAAAAGAGAAGTATTTACATCTGATGAGGTGCCAATTAATGAGGAGATTGGGAGAAATGACTTTTTTGGACCGGGGAGGGGAAAAAAGAGGCCGAAGGAGGCTAAAAGAGGTTGAGAAGATTCCTCTCTGTGAAAGGAAGATTGGGAGTGGTTTAGAGGAATGGGAAAAAGATAAGAGGGAGAAGTAAGAGTGAAGACAGAAAACAGGGAGTGAAATAAACAGAGAGGTAGGCAGGGTTGGAAGCTGCAGGACCCAGGAAGGCCGAAGGGGATGTGTTGGTTAGGAATAAGCAGCCAAATTGTTAGTTCCAGCTCTCTGGTTTCTGTTA